TTCGAAGCTTGTTAACCTAGTCCTTGTTAGATTTTCGAAGTGTAAATAAAGCCAAGATGGGTCGATATTATGTATGTATATATATATACATTCTATTCTGAAAATAGAATTATTTAGAAAAGTAGTCATTTCAATCAGAAATCAATATAACTTAATAAACTTTTGAGTGACTTAAAGTTACACTTTAAGTCACTCAAAACATTTTAAGAACAGACTGGATTAAGGCATATTATTTTATTCTATTGTTTCGTACTAGATTTTCAAAGCTTGTTAATTCAGCGCTTGTTAGATTTTCAAAGTGTAAACAAAGCCCAGATGGGTTGATATTATGTAAATATTTTTTCTTATATTATATTTTCTATTCTAAATATTTTGAAAATATAATTATTCAGAAAAATAATCATTTAAATCAGAAATAAATAGTAATGTACCTTTAAATCACTCAAGACATTTTAAGAACACTTCTGCTTTAAATATTTTTTTAACTATTTTCACCATTTTCTGGTAGCACGTGTTTTTAATGAAACAAGTAATATTAAGTGTGCATTTCTGTTAAATTTAAAATTATTATGTTATTTATTTTTAATTTAATATTTATGCCATCGGATTGAAGCGAAAAAAGTATTTTAAAAAAGTTTGAAGTTCTTTAGAATATAAGAAAGGGAAAATGGAAAGAAAAGGTTCCCGGAATAAATATGCAAATTTAGAGGGAATTAGTATATGAAAGGATCTTTATTTATATTGTAAAATCTATCTTTTTTATTTCCTTTTTACACTTAGAATATTTAGTAAAATATGTAAAACACATACTTTAATAAAATTGTTTTTTAACATTTGTGGAATATTTAAATGATTCCTTGGATATTGAAAGAAAACATAAACATTTAAGTTAAATAAACATTTTTGTTATTGATAGATTTTTTTTTTTTTTTTTACAATTTAATGGCTGATAAACTGTGCTTCTGAAATTTTCAAAGTTTGAATAAGTCTAGGATAATTCGTGGAAGATTTTGCAATATAATAAGAGAAACTGCTTTGTAGAATAATTTATTTAAATATACTTTTTTGAGCTTCATTTAATTTTTTGTAATATTGATAGCATTTTAGTTGAGATAGTTTTGGTAATTTTTTTTCGACTTTCTCACTTCTTCCCCTTAATATCCGCTTTAAATTGTTGAAAGTATAGTTGTAATTCTTATGAAACGTGGTTAAACATGACTGTTACTGTGCATGAAAAAGTTCAATTTCATTTTTTTGGAACAGCAAATTGGAACTCTAATTTGCAGTTGAGATAGTTTTGGCAAGTTTATTCGAATTTCCCACTTCTTTCTATTAATATCCATTTAAAAATGTTAAAAGTATAATTGTAATTCTTATAAAACAGGACTGTTAATGTGCAGGCAAAAATTCAGTCAACAAAGTTTATATCTTCTTTTTGGGATAGATTTTAATTTGCAAATTATTCAAATTCTACATTTTTTCTCAAAATAAATATAATAAACCTTTCACAGGAATACTGAGGATTATACATCAAACGACCGTTGCAGTATATAAAAAAATGATAGTAAGGATATTTGTGTGTGTATGAAAAGCCACAACGTTATATTCGAAGAATAAATTTTAAAGAATTTTTTCTTAATGATTACAAAAGCAATTAATTTGCATATAGTAAATTAGAAAAAAAAACATAAAAAAGAAAGAAATTGTAGTGGACTGCTGTCATAGAGGTTGTAAGCAAAACAAATGCATATTAAGTTTTATTATTAATTCAATCAAAAATTCCTGTTCTAATTCACCATTACTTTTTTTAACAATAGAATTTTAAAAGAATGTTAGAAATAAGGTAAAACGGTAGAAATTAACTTCAATTAACTTAAAATCCAAAAACTATTTAAAGTTAAATATTATTATTAATAACGCTAATTATTATTGAAGTTAAATTTAAATTAACTTCATCAAAAAAGTATAAAATTTAGAGAAATTTAAGAAGAGTATAAATATATATTTAGAGTATATAATTATTAGTATAAAAAGTATATATTTAGAGTATAAATTTTAAAAAATTAGAAAGTGTAAATTTTTTTTTTTTTTATGATTTAAAAAAAATTCTAAGTATGTTTTAGTAATTTAGCTTATTTTTTCAAATAAACTGTTGAAACATTTAAACATTTTTGGCAATACAAACATTTTTGGCAAACAATTTTTAAATAGCAACTTGGCATTCATTAAATAACTAATTCAAATTATTTTTTAAAAAAACGTTTACAATTAAAGGTCAGCGGATGCTTGAAAAGCGTTTTCTAAATTTAATGGGTGTGCCCGAGGAAAAAACACTTTCGATCTTTCTAATTAATGCAGTGTCGCAATCTTGTGTCATGTTGTTTGTTGTTTCTTCTTATTAACAGGGCAGTTTCCTTGTGTAACGCATTGTATACCTTAATGTTTCCTCATTCACAGCCCGCACGTTGTAGCTCTTCTTAGTAATGAATGAAGTATTGCTCTTTGTACGCATAAATTCTATGTTTCGGAGAAAAGAAAAGAGAATTTCACAGTGATTGTCCACTGTGATTTCGGACTATGAATGGAAAAATTATGTAACTTGCACTTTCCCTGTCTTCGTGAATCATTGGAATGAAGGAAATTGTGGTTGGAAAAAAAAATAGGAAAAGAAAGACCTTGAAAGTCAAATGTTTCCTTTTGAAGTAAGCGCGTTCTTTCCAAGGCTGCAAAGAAGAGTTTCGAACTTTTATTTTCAAGTAGCAGTAAAAGCTTTGTGTTCATTATAAGACAAACTCTTTAGTAATTCCTATCCACAACGTATTAACAAAAGATGCTATTTGCTAGAAACCTTGCAGCTCTGTAACGATGCCTTATGATAGTTCATTTATGAGTATTTGTTTCGATTTTTTTTTGTCAACTCGTGCGTCGTATGCATAAAAATATTTGTATCCATTTACATTGATGGCCGCAGACACAAATGAAAAGAAGGTGAAGACAACAGACTGTTTAGTACGATAAACTGTTTAGTAATTCCTGTCCTTAACGTACTAACAAAAGATGCTATTTGCTAGAAACCTTGCAGCTCTGTGATGATGTCTTTTGCCAGTTCATTTACGAGTATTTGTTTCGATTTTTTTTGTCAACTCGTGCGTCGTATGCATAAAAATATTTGTATCTATTTACGTTGATTGCCGCAGACACAAATAAAAAGGAGGTAAAGACGACAATCTGTTTCGTACGATAAACCGTTTAGTAATAACAGAAAGACAAACTGCTTAGTAATTCCTATCCTTAACGTATTAACAAAAGATGCTATTTGCTAGAAACCTTGCAGCTCCATGGCGTTGTATTTTGATAGTTCATTTACGAGTATTTGTTTCGTTTTTTTCAACTCGTGCGTCATATAAATGAAAATGTTTGCATATATTTACGTAGATGGCAGCAGACACAAATGAAAAGAAGATGAAGAATATCTAGAATAATCATTATCCTTATTGTATTTTCACTTGAAGGTAGATAGTATTTACCAATTTGTTTTCTTTACCAATTTTTGTATTTAACGAACAGAGGACTTTGAAATTAATATATTCATTAAACCACTAATGATTTTAAAGCAAGGTTAGTTAACGTTTTGAAAGTGAAGGACTATAATTACTCCCAGAAATTTTACCATGGATTGACCGCACTCACACGCGCACAAGCGCACGAGTGCACGGATGACCCCACACACATAGCGTTATTAAAAGTAAATAATAAAACATTAATACAGCAAAAAAATTTGATGCTTGACGTTATATTGACTTAAAAAATGTTGTATGCATTTGGTTCGCATCTTTTAGTAACTAAGAACAAAATTTTAAGTTTTTAATTTTCGTTTTTTTATATTAATGGGTTGTATACATACATTTGTTCCCAGACACATGTTGATCAAAACAGACTTGTACGTATTAATGAAATCTATCAAAGACCACAGCTATTTTGTAACTGAAATTTTAAAATGGAACATATTTTGGAAATCCAGTATGATACGTAACGAAGTTTTGTTACGAGCATACATCTGACGACTTGACGGCCAATAGAATAGAGACGTGAGTGGACGTAAAAACAACCTATATCGAAACTTAAAATCCATGTTAGCACATTTTCGATACAAGTTTTTATCTCTTAAATTGCAATAAATTAGTAAATACTGAATAAAATATTTTTCCCAATATTTAAGTATTTTCATCATCAAAATCTGATTTTTTTAAAAATTACATATCGTTTGACTGCGTAACGTATAAATGATATGTGAAGAGGTGGGACACTAGTAAACTAGCGGCTGGCAAATGTTTGTACAACCCATTTTTAAAGCATTATTTAGAGCTCTCTGCAGAACCATCTTTAATACTAAGTTCTTGACAGTGCCCTCTTCACTTTGAGACTCGCTAAGTACTGTTGACTAGTTAAAAGAATGATTTATTTATACCGACATGCAGTTTTTAAAATAAATATATATTTGTGTGAACGTAAATTACTTTTGTTGATATGATGCATAATAATAGCACAAATAAATAATTGAATATCAAAGTATGTGAAGGATCCCCTTCGTTGTACTGCCCTTGGCCTCAGTGTGTTGTTATGACGTCTCTAAGATGAAAAGAACTTACTCAGGGTCTCTAGAGTATAGTCTTTCAGTTACGTGCCAAAATTATTTGATTATTTCAGCTCATGCAATGAATAGATTTCATTTCGTAATACTTCTGTAAAACTGCATCTATTCTTTTATAGTTGAAAACTACTTATAAAACTTGTGAGGATTTTGTATCAGAAGAGTAGAGCTCAATATTTATTTGCGACTATTTCTTTTAAATTATTATGAAAAAATATTGCAAGCTTTTACATAAAAGTTATGCTGCTGCGATAATTAATGCATAATATTTTTTAATTAATAAAATAAACAAAATATTATGTATGATTTTTTTATTATATTACTATAGCAATTAAATAACTACATAGCCAACGGCCGTACCGTGCTGAATATACCGGTTCTCGTTAGATCACCGAAGTCAAGCATCATTGGGCGCGGTCAGTACTTGGGTGGGTGACCACCTGGGAACACCGCGTGCCGTTGGCAAATTTGGGACCTGAATGGCCGAGTGTCTGGCGCTCGGTGCCACAGATTTCGGGTTCGAATCCCGGCGGTGCCATAGATGTTTGTAGTGGTTCGGAATCCACTTTAAGCCGTAGGTCCCGGTCTCCTATGACTGTAAGAGCGTCACGGAGCCAAAGTCAGACTTCTACCTACGGGTGCTCCATCACAACAGAAGCTGCTTCCTTCCCCTTCAATCATGAGTACGTATGGGCTCGTGGGCTTGGCCAGCCAAGTGGGATAAGAAACAACAACAACAACAACAAATAACTACATAATATTTTTTCAGCATAAGGGTCGGAATGGTCCAGTAGTTGGTCCCCGTTGGGTTTTCGAACTAGGGCAGCCTGTTTCAAAAAGTGATTAACGAAGCCGAACCGAAAGCTTCCATGTTTATGCTGGGGATAGATAAATCGGTTGGCAGAAATGTTCATTAGTGGGGCTTGAGGGGATGGGGCAGAAACTATGAGCCATCCGTGAGAGTGTTCGCTCCAAATTGTTGTAGCAAAATGTGAGTGAAGTGTAGTAATCATCCCGTCCTTCTTAAATGAACACTGGATAACGTTGAATCTGTTACATGTTTACTGTTTTAGTGGCGAAAGACTTCAGGTTAAAGAGCACGCATTGAAAAATAACAGTTCGCATTGAATCTTAAATACCAATTGCAATATTTCAATATAAATAACAATTTTTGATTGTAAAAATCAAAATGGAGAAGCGCAGCTTTTATTTATTCATTTTTTTAAAATTACTAACAAGTATCTTTTCCTTACCAAAGATTTCGAAATAGTTATGAGTATTTATGCTTGTGAAGAAATTTAATTAACGATTATAAGAAATAATTTGTATTTTTAACTAAATATTAATTTTTTGAAGCGGACTATCCTTAGCGAAGAAGTCGAGAACTTTATAAATTTAACATAATCTTTAGTACTGTTAAAATTACAAAATATTTAAAATAGACTAAGATGTTAAGTTATTTTGATTAGTTTTGTAATGAAATGCTATTTGCATCCCCAGTGTGTTATAACATCCAAATGATTTAAAGGTTAGTTTATCTTATTCTATTAGATTATGAAGCACATCTATAACTAGCAACAATGAATAATAAGATCTCAGCTTTTTCAAATGTTGAATTCATTTTTTTCTCAATTGGAATAGAGATGTGTGATCTTATCAATAAATTATTTCATACCTATCTCTTTGATAATTAAAAGATAATGCAAAAAAGCTAAATAATTTAAAGTCTTGGTTGGGTCGCAATAAATTCTCCAGCACTGCAGCACTCCACTAGCAAACTTTAAAATAAATTTTTATGGCATTTGGAGAGATTATATATTGTACATTTTCTATACTTTTTAAAAACAAATAAAAATGAAAGGGAAAAAAAAGGTGATACTATTTGAAAGGTAATTAAATCTGTGCCATTGATTACGCAGATGCTATTGAATTAACAAAGAATATAATTGAATTTCTCATATGAAGCATATCTTGTGCAACCAGTTATAAAATAAAAACATTACACTTTAAGTTGATCATAAAATAAACGATAATAAAATTGGATGAAAAACAAGTTATTTAGAATGATATAGATAGTTTTAATTTGTTTTTGAAAATTCAGAATAGCTGCACAGCTAGTTATTTCAAAATGTTATTAAATTTGATGAATAACAAAAATAATTATCTGATAAAAAATTTAAAATTCTTAATTTAAAAAAATTGGGTCATTAAAAATATTCTAAATTGCGTGACTAAAATTTCTGGCATACATAAAAAATAATTAAATGTGAGAAAAAATCATTCAAGTTTTTTAAAAGGAAAAACAACAAAGAATAAGCTTTAGAATGTAGTAACAACAAAATTGAAATTCGAGTACAATTTGTTTTTAGAAATTCAGAATAGCTGCATAGCTAGTTATTTCAAAATGTTATTAAATTTGATGAATAACAAAAATAATTATCTGATAAAAAATTTAAAATTCTTAATTTAAAAAATTAGGTCATTAAAAATATTCTAAATTGCGTGACTAAAATTTCTGGCATACATAAAAAATAATTAAATGAGAGAAAAAATCATTCAAGTTTTTTAAAAGGAAAAACAACAAAGAATAAGCTTTAGAATTTAGTAACAACAAAATTGAAATTCGAGTCTTAAAAACTGTTGATGAAAAATTTTAATTTAACATTATACGAAATGAAGAGTTTTTATTATAAAAGTGAAATATGTCTCTAATTGTTGGGAGATCAATAAGGAATTCAAGAGACCCTTTCCAGCTATATTGATTATAACTTATATATAAATTAAGAAAGCATGTTAACTTATATTTTACTTTTTTAATGATTCTAATTGTTATATTAAATTTATTTTTTCGTGTGTATTATAATTCCATACAGCAAAAATTGATGGCATTGTTTTCAAATTAAATATTTCGTGACAGCAAAAACTAATAATTTTTGCAAATACGTATTTGAAAGATGTAGATGTTAAACAATGCTTAGCCTTTGCGAAAGTAATGACTAAATAGAACAATGCAAAAGAACGAAGCAACAACGACTTGCTTTAGAATAAAGACATATTTACAATAAGATTTTCTTGATAGTATAATGATAACAAGTGACAAAAAGTTGAGATATGAATATGGAAAATAATGTGTATAAACTGAAACAATCTCTTGCTTACTAGATGATTCAAATTTAAATTTGGATTATAAATATAAAGAAAATTATCGAATTGTAAATTTGGATTATAAGTATATCGAAGATTATCAGTTTCATTTTACAGTTTATGCTATTAATTATCATTATAGCCAACGGCCGTACCATGCTGAATATACCGGTTCTCGTTAGATCACCGAAGTTAAGCATCATTGGGCGCGGTCAGTACTTGGGTGGGTGACCACCTGGGAACACTGCGTGCCGTTGGCAAATTTGGGACCTGAATGGCCGAGTGTCTAGCGCTCTGGCGCTCGGTGCCACAGGTTTCGGGTTCGAATCCCGGCGGTGCCATGGATGTTTGTAGTGGTTCGGAATCCACTTTAAGCCGTAGGTCCCGGTCTTCTATGACTGTAAGAGCGTCACGGAGCAAAAGTCAGGCTTCTACCTACGGGTGCTCCATCAGAACAGAAGCTGCTTCCTTCCCCTTCAATCATGAGTCCATATGGGCTCGTGGGCTTGGCCAGCCAAGTGGGATAAGAAACAACAACAACAACATTATCATTATTATTTAATTTTTTAGTTAAATATTTATTTTTTTTGGTCTGTTGAGGGGGAACAAAACGCTTACATGTATTCACTTTGAATCATGAACTTGTTAAATTTGCTGATAATTGATATTAGGTAACATCATTCCGTTATGTCTACATTGTTCTCCAGAATAGTGGAAATGATAATGCCCTATGGGAGGATTTTCGTAGTAAACTATCCTATATTTATCTATAAACTGTCCTATATCCCTAGTATCATATGGGTGAACATCTGGAGTACAGCAATTATAGGCCGTTTAGAAATAAGAAACAATGTCACAACTTCCATTGAGTCTATTTGCTTTTCAAAGCAGTGAGTGTAACATTAGCCATCTACAGGAATACACTTATTCTTGGACTGGCAACTGGCAACTGGCGTACCGATTACGGAGTACCAACAGGGGAAAACCCCTTAAACCTCCTCATCTTAATTAATAGATATGCTTTAAATTTTAATTGGTTGCTTGATTAGGTTAGTGAAAATACAAAGATAAAGTTTCTAAAAATTCAAGTTAAATGGTACTCAAAAAAGATAAAAATACTAATAAAAATAAAAGTAAGGTACAACATAAAAGAATTTAAAATTAATTTAAGTTCAGTACAATTAGGGACCAGTTGTCGATGCCAAAATAATGAAAAAGTAAACAGAGTTATTATAAACTCATATAACCAAGTAAACAGAGAATTATGCTGAACGGTGAGAGCTGTAGGTTGATCTGCAAAGTAAATTGTTAGTCCACACAAAAAAAAAAGGCCAATATCAGGACCGTATTTTTATAGTTTTCATTTTATAATTTTTATTTGGTTTTATTCCATCCTTTTATTTTCCTAACAAAAAAAAGGGGTAAAAAAGCGTACAATAAAAACCTAACTGTTCACTAGCCGTTAAGAAAGGATTAAGGTGCACAACGTAGCAAAGATATAAAAATTGTGAATTGTGCCGAGTGCCGGATTCGAACCCTCAACCTTACGGTCGGGAGTCCGTCACCTTACCTCTGCGCCAATTCGTTTTGTTTACTAATAGAGCCGCGTAAATATTCTTGGACTCTAGAAAGCACTCTGTACCAGTGGGCCACTAATGGGACTGCAATCGAATTTTAGATATTGACATCTTTTACAATCTGCTTGCTAAACACAGCATATGTTCAATGCCCGAAATATCAAATAATTTGTAGCCTCGCAAAAATAATTATAAATCTATTACTTTTGTTTGACAAATGTTTCTGTTGCATTTGAAAGCATATTAGTGACACCGATTAAAATCGAAAACGAGAAAAATTTTAATTGCTGTCCGTGTCATACATTTTTGTCAACATTTGTAATCATAAATGTATAATGATGGGAAAAATAGGTCATTCAGAATATTTTTTACACATTGAGAAAGGCATAATTAATGCTTTCAAACAATGTACTTTTTCTGATTGTAAAATCACGATATGTCTGAATAGAATCAGGGCAGCTATTTGAAACTGTTTGAAATAGTTCTATAATTATTCTTTGTATGTTAGGTTTTGAAAGTCTAGTGTACATGAATAGAAAAATGGCTGAAATTAAACTGGTTTATACATTCTTGCATGTTCCATCTAGAGGAACATTGTCAATTGTCTTCATTTTGTAAAGATAGCAAATTCATACCCAAAAGACGTTAAATCAAAGTTTTGAAAGGGATGGCAGATTTTTTAAATGGATGTACATTAAATAATTTATAGAATGCATTCATATTAATTTCAATTAGAAAGA